TCTGACCGACGGTTTTCCGGCGGTTACATTACCGGCGGCCAAACCGCCGACAGACCGACGGTTGAAATTCCGGTTATCACCGGCGGTATGGGCCGCCGGAAAACCGCCGCAAAAATAAACCGCCGGTAAAAGGCCGTCGGAATTTGTTTCCTACGCCGTTTTTACCGGCGGTCACTAAACCGCCGTTAGACCGCCGGTATTTTGTAAAACCGCCGGTAATCTTACACTAACCGCCGGAAAAAACCGCCGGTTTTCATTGTTTTTCCTGTAGTGCGAGAGTTTCATTCCATCATGTTATTCGACATAGCTTCAAGGAGACTACCTTGTGATGAGTTGAAGATAAAGAAATCTAACGATGCATTAGCTGAGCCTTTGCTCTCATCAGCTTATGATACCTCATCTATCACAAAATGACTTCATGTTGTTTGGATGTCCTTACCGAGTCTAAGCAAGGATCATGTGACTTATGAATATTATCTCTAAGGATGAAAATGCAATCATAAGAAAGCTTACTGGACTAAGTTGTGTTCTTGTAACTTATCAATGGAAACAAAATTTAATTCATATCATTGTTGTTATGGATAAGGATGGAGCCTAGGTAAGAATAATGATGTATCTTATGGCTACATCGGATGACAAGATTACGATTCGCTTGGAAGAAAAAGTAGATAATTAATTATCGGTAATTAAAATTTTGGGCCACTGAAGCACAACATCATGCCACCAGATCCATCATATTCATATAAGCGGATATAAGGTGTTTAGAGATTCCAAAATAAAATTTGATGCATTTATTAATAGTAGTTATTTACATAGTCGATAATCCCGAAAACACCACTTTGAACTGCATGCAAATATTTTAAAAATCCCCCTATACATGCATTGCAATACGCATGATAATTCATTTAAACATGATATCCACCATCACGAGAAGCATTTAGTTGTAACAAGTGCATTGCATTTACATGCTAATGTTGCATATGCACGTATCATAACTTGCATAATACATTATGCGAGCTTGTCATCTGACATTGCAAGTATATTTTGAAGTGACCTATGACATGTATTTGTAGGATGCTAAGGATTGCATTCTAGCATGTCGTTTGAATTTGCTACTGCACCAGAGCCCTACATGGGGTCTTGGTTGGGTACCCACGCTTAGTGCTTGCGGGATTTGCCCATCCACGCCCTCCTATGGTGACTTTCGGGATGTCATACCCACCCACACCCACCCACTTTCCACGCTTCTTGAATGCAGTCTACCACGGATTAATGTCCTTGAGGTTTGTTGCCCTTTTCTCTGACTGCAAACTTTGAAGCCACATATCAAAATTTATCGTGGGTGCGGCGTGGTTCAGTGCTGTGCACTGCGTAGTAAGAAATACTGTAATATACTGCATGCAAATAGTGATTAGTATTGTAAATCAGTTTGTTCCCTAATGTTGAGTACCCACCCATGAAGTCATGGGCATACCCATACCCACCCATGCCCATTGGGAATGGGTGGGTGTGGGTATGGGTAACCAATGCAAGGAGGCTCTATACGGCACCCCTAAAATAACCTCCAACATGTATTTGCAAGATGCTGAGAGTTTCATTCCATCATGTCATCCGACATAGCTGTTTCATTTCAAAATAACATTTTGTGTGTATTTGTATGATGTAGAGGTTTTTAGTCAAGTATGTCATCTGAAATTAAAATTGCATGTTAAAATGAAGTCCTGCATGTATCTTTAGGATGCAGAAGGTTTCATTCAAGCATGTCATTTGATAGTACAATCATAATTTAAAATGACGTCTTACATGCATTGGTGTATATATATATGTATATATGTATATATATATATGTATATATATATGCTCTATGAGTGAGTTTTTTACTTGTACCATACTCAATACTAGACATATATTTTATTAGTTTAATGATAGAAGTGATGAGATGAGGCCAGTCATATAACCTGCAGAACCTATAAAAAAAAGGGAAAAATGCAAAATAGAGAATGAAGAAAAAGGAGAACCGAACTTCTTCCAGAATCGTTTCATTATACCCCTTACCATCCTGTATACATCAACCCGCTATATATATAAATAAGGTACTATTCTATCACTGATATAGTTAGTTATGTATAGACGATGCATATATCATATGAAGACTGTAGCTACTGTACAAGAGTAATGGAGCAGTGCACATGGATAGGTGATCAACCGATGTATAAATATGAGAGAGTGAATATCATATATGCTTATCAAGAAGAGAAAATTTCAGTGAATTCAATGCCTTGCTTTTGTTGGAATCCTTTCAATGCAAACCTTGTTTTATACCTTTCGATGTAATTCTGGTCATCTTTGATTTCATAGGTTTACTTATTTTATGAAGTTTTTTTTTTCTTTTTCCTGTGGGTAAATTATTTAGGTGTCATTTTTTAAAGGAAGTACTATTTTCTATTTAATTTATTTTTAGCTCCACTTATATGAATGATTAACTTTTGGTACGTATTTTCATAGTGTTCATATTCACATATATCTATAAGTAGCAAAAATTATATTGAAGGAGATTAATAATAAATAGGCTTTAGAATTCTTTATGATCTCATAATTATTTCTATAACAGGATTGATGAGCAGAGCCAGATTTTGAATATTTCTATATATCATATTTTATGAAGATTACTGGCCGGTCTATTTGAATTCAACATGCCTTAGCATTAGATATGGCACGCCGTTAACTGATGAGGTATAATATTATATTTATTACACCATTCCAAAAGACACTACAGTAAAAACTTCATTTTTACCGGAAAAATGTCCAACCTCTGTCAGTAATTCTCATTTTCGGCGGATTTTTGGCGGAAATGTTTTCGCGAGTAAAACACGCATTGCAAAAGGTCTTCCGGCGCAAAATAATTCACCAGAAAAAATTTTCATCGTATTTCCGACGGATTCTCCGCTAAAAAAATATTTCCGGTGGATTTTTTTTGCACCTGAAGGTTAAGAAAAATAAAAAAAATAAAAAATCCAATCAATTAACCCCTACCGGCCCGCCTAGCCAACTCGCCCATTGCTCCCATTTCCGCTCCGCCCCAGCCCAGCCGCCCGAACAGGGCCTGCCCGCGCTAATTTCCTTCGTCGGGGTTCGAACCCTTCCCCTCTGCGCGCACCTAGTCTTCGGCGCCTTTTACCATAGATATCTAGCCATTAAACAAAAACGGTTAAATATGCTACTTTATTTTATTTAAGGTATAACATATAAATATTAAAAGTAAAAGTATTTTTTAAAGATAAAAATAAATATAATTTAATTTAACATTGAATTATTAAATTAGTTAATTTAATCTAAAAATAAATTATGAAATTATTTAACTTAATTTAACATAATAATTAATTATAAAAATTTATTATATTTTAAGTTTTAATTTAAATCATTTATTTTTTTGTTATTAAATAATTTAATTTAATTTATTATAATTTAAGTTGTTAAATTCAAAATTTTAAATTATTTTTAAAATATAAAAATATTTAATTTAAATAATTTAATTTGACAATAAGTTATTAAAATATGACTTAAAATTTTAATTTATGTCGGAAATCCGCCGGAAATTCCGTCGAAAATCCAGTCAAAAATATGTCCGAAATTCGACGAAAATTTTTTTGTCGAAAATCCACCGAAATTTGTGACGAATTTACTTCCGCCAGAAATTCCACCATACATAAGTTGTTTTCTTGTAGTGGGAATATTAGCAATCATTTATGTAATCTTTTACTTTTATTCATTTCATTCAAAATCGCATTGATTCTTTCAATGACTCCATTCTACTCGAGAGTTTAGATGTTCTTTTTGTATGCATCTCATTAACATCGTAATAATTTTTAACTCTATACCATCATACTTCCCACTAACAAATTACTACTTAGGTTTCATTTGAGACAATTTTTTTTATTGATTTTTAAAATAATTTTTTTAGTAAAAAATTCATTGAATTAGAATTTATTTTTCTTTAAGTTCAACTATTTTTTTTTTAACCCTTTTTAGAGTGTAGATTTAGGCTTCTTATTTGATGTACGGGAATTAAGGCCGGCATTTCTCTATCATAAAAAGTTGAATTTTTCTTCTGTTGCCAATTGGAGGTTTATGATTTATGCTATATAATGCTTAATTGTGGGAATTGATGATAATTTATTAAAAGTATTTTATCAAAAAATTTATATATTTTTTATATTTATATGTATTCAAAGGAGTTGACTTTCTTTGCACTCGATCACTTTGTACAATTTTTAATAAAATAATAAACCGTCATCCAAACAAATTATGATCGATGTTATCAACGATACGACCTGGTTCTAAAACATGCGTTAGACCGTTGATATTTGAATCTAAAACCAATTCAACTTTGCTAATCGGCTAAGCAGTTCGCTTATAAATAGAGGCCATAGATCAAAAGCTTCAATAACAATACTCTTAATCCAAGCAAATAAGATCAATATGGCCATGCTTCGCCAAGCTTCCTTCTTCTACTTCCTGGCCCTTTTCATGGCTGCTTGTGGCCTCTTTGCAGGCGGAAGCATGGCTCAGATGAGCCACATGTTGTCCGGCGATGTTCTAAAAACTGGTCAGAATATATCGAATCCACTTTACACCTTAGTGATGCAAGCGGACTGCAACCTTGCCCTCTACCGCAGCCCCTCCGTTTTTGTCTGGAGCACCGGCACCAACGGCAAAGGCAGTGGATGCGAACTCTGGTTGAAGACCGACGGCAACCTCGTCATCAACGACAAGGATGAGAAGCTCATTTGGCAAACTGGAACAAACGGAACAGTTGGTCACTATGTTCTTCTCCTGCAACGCGATCGCAATCTTGTCATCTACAGCGTACCGGCCTGGGATTCTGGGACGGGAACAGTTCTATCTGCAGCCACAAATTAGAATTCAAGATTGGCAGAACAAATATGATCCCTAATTGTTTTCTGTCTGGTGAATGTGTGATTTGGATTCGTATTACCAGCTGAGTGTAGTGTTATAGCGCTATTATGAATTGTGTGCGTAGCATAATTACAGAACTTTGCTATTTAATCGAATAAATGTTACATGAGTAACGAGAAGTATGAAGATTTTGTATTTCAAGATCTGCTTTTGCTTTCATCATTGAACAACTTTGATTTTATTGCTTAAGTTCTATGATATCGTCTTGCACTACTTTTTATGTTAGATTTTTTTTTTTAATTTCTTGGGGGAAAATTAGGGGCAGAGCCTGTATATCATTAACTGTGAAAAGGTTGGTTACATGAAGGGAAAATTACAACTCAGAAATTGACAAGCTATAAGAATTTGAGCTGCAACTAAAACATAGCAATGCTCAATCGAACAAAACAGCAAAGCTAACAAGGGCTTGAAAACAAAGATGAAGCAGCATTAATTTTATAAATCTCCTAATTGATTGGCGCATTCAAGCCACTCACCAATTCAGATTCGGGTATCGTGGGGTAGAAAGAAAATCCGCTCAATGTGCGTCAGTTTCACGAGAGATTATTAGGTGCGGACGGGGAAAACCGTCCGCATAAGCATTGAGTACCTAGCGGTACCCGCACTCGGTACCGCTGAGTACCGAGGTACCCAGTACTTGTGCGGATGATGCGCCCTCCGCACCTAATAATTTTTCTAGTTTCGCGGGGGAATAGAGGTAATTATGCTTTTTTTTTTTGCAGCCGGATGTTTTTTTCTTTATCTTTTGAGCTGGCTATATAAACTTCATGAGTGCTATGAATATTGAAATAATCCTCAAATGAAATGGCTGGCACCATTCTCTAATTAAGGAGTGAAGTTTCTTAGGTCAATGAATAGATATAAGTTTTAACTTTTGTATAAGATTATATAATATTGAGTTTTATTTGAAGCTCTAGCATTATATTTTATGTTAAAATAATTATATTCAGTAGTGTAATTAATTGCTTATTTCAGTTGAAGAGGGTTTTTTTTTTAGATTTTTAATGTTAAATTAGTTAAGTTCATTATTTTTTGTGAAAGTATATATAAACCAGTCATTAATTTCATTCCTTGAAGTTATTATTTCTTCCGTTGTATTATGCATGATCCATTATTCGTGTTAGGTTGGTTTAAAATTTGGATTAATGTATAATTAATATGATTGTAAAACTTTATTTTAAAAAAATGAAAAAAAAAATCAAGAAGAAATTTTAAAATCGTGATATTTTGATATTTATCGCTTAACGAAAGAATATGTTAGAGAGGTAATAGACAAGATTAATATTATTTGAATTAATATATGTCATTTTAAACATATTTTAAAATTTAGAAGATTTTTGAGATATCCATGTTAATAGTTGTTAGTCTCTCATATAATCTTATTAAGTAATGAAAAAAATATTCCTATAAAAGTTAATATTATTTTTTTTATTACAATTTGATTTTAAAATCAAAGCAAATTTTATAAATTGGAAGAGGATAGTAAAATGAAAGTCAAGTAGAATCACATTAATTTTTTAAAACTTAGTGTATCCGTATAGTGAAGATGTCTTGTTAGCTCCTTGATAAATATTTATTCTTTGTAGAATATCACGATTACTTTTATACTTTAGTGGCGAGTTGCAAGTTGCAGCTAAATTAACATCAACCTATGTCGGCATAAGAAATAGGACAATTATCATAGTGGATATTAGACTGTTGGCCAAACTAAAACGACGAATTATTCATGCGTTACAGTACAATTCATCGACACAAACAGTAAATCATGTATGTCAAATTTGTAATAACGACGGATATGCTACCACCCATGTGATCGTTGACAAGGTTTGTAAGTATATGTTGTTGGAGGCTAGAAGGCGTATTGTTACTGTATATGTCGAGGCTGAAGTTGTCCCAAGAGAACCTACCAGGACAAGCACAACAACTTTAATATTTGTACGTAAGAATGACAACACTTAGTACCTTTCATCCAGTTGAGTTGGACGAACGACCACTTGGCTGTGGGTATGCACTTCATCCCAAATCAAATTACTCATGCTTACTAATTATCATTTAAACTAATAGGTTTAATTATTTATGCTTGCAGGTGGGGTGGAGATCGAATTTGGGAGATTCCTTCAGGCAACTCAATGAATTACATGGATGAACTTAATGGTTTGCAGCTTAGCTAGGTTTGTTAAACTACCTTTAAATTCATACGTATATTTCCAAGTTTTCATGTCGAATACATTTAACACATTCGCATGTTATAGGTAAAGATGACTTCATACACGAACACAGTTCTTGGTTCATTATCGAAGCACTGTCATATGTCTAGGAAGTTATGGACAACACGAGTTCCGATGATCAGCTGGAAATGTGCATAGGTGCACCTCCCTGGTCGAGTTATGACACAATTTTGGAGGAGTTCAGTTCACCGATTTGGAGCATATGGAGAGAGGGTTCAAAAGGATAGATAGTTGAGGGAAGGCTGACATGGACTGAACAGTTAAGTACCAAACGTACATTGAGACGTGGAATAACATACATGCATATCTTGTTCCAGTGATTTCACTGGAAGGTAGTGGTAATGAGGAGTTTGGGACATACCTACGATGGTACCGGTCATAGGAATCCATCTACTTATTATAGCCTCAAAGACTTTACCTCTAGAAACTATTTTCCAAAGATCTCTCAGAAAGCGATTGGTGGTACGTATCCATACTTACCTACCACTCTTAAATGTTATGAATTTAGTTGGCAAAATAAAACTTTTTTCTATGAACAAACACAACATGCTGACTACTTCATATGGAGTTATGACAAACTAGAATCGTTGAGTGGTGGACACGAGGAAAATGCAAGCTCACTACAGTTGGCCATTGATCAGGTCATAGAGTTAGCAGATATAGGACAATTATCAATATACGTAAATTATAATACTTTCGAGACCAGTACATATGACCAACCCCAATATAAGGCCCAAGCTATGTTAAAGCCTTAAATTTTCAAGATTTTTTTTGTTAACCTAGGGCAGTAAATAATTATTTCAGGAGTCATTAGAAGTTCAAATCACAAACCGTCTAATCAAAAATATATATGGTGTAGTGCTTTAATTATCCTATTTTTTCATAATTTTTTGGCACTGTTGAAATTTTTTAAGAAATCGACATCTGTCAGTACAAGTGGGTTAATTACTGTCAGAGTGTCAGTTTACAATTTGGTTTCCTTAGAATTTTCTAATTAAAATGAGATAATTTATGTGTTTTTTTTTTGTAATTTTTGGAATCCCTAAGAGAATTTCTATGAATTTTTACTTAAAATTAATTATAATAATATGATTATATATTAAATAATAATAATAAAATATCTAAAGCCATTGGCTTTATTAAATGCCTTTTTATTTTCATTATTTTTTTTTTCGCCCAACAGAGAGGAAACTAAGGAAATTATGGAAGAAAGAAATGAGAGAGAAAATCAAATTTCAATTTTGGGCAACTTTAGACTATTTTCGTCCGTCAGCTCAGTTGAGAAACTTATTCTTCTAGAAGTAAGACATATTAATCCTTCTAATTGTTTCTATAACATGAATGATGAGCCGAGCCTTATTTTTTTTATTTCTATATATATCTCCTATATTATGAAGATTACATGGCTATTTGAATTCAACATGCCTTATCATTAGAGATTTCTTTTTCAATCTTTATTGACTTGTCTTTAAACTTTTAAATATGAGAGATATATCTTATTTCTACAAAAGACTTCTTCATATAACCCAAAATCCAGAGCCACATATGGCCTTTAACTGATGAGGTATAATATTATATTTATTACAAGATTCCAAAATAATATTAGCACTCATTCACGTAATATTAGCTCGCTTCCCGTGTCGGGTTGGGTCAAGCTGTCACGACCCGACCCGATCCGGGACGGATCCCGCTCGCACCGGGTCGCGGCACGGAAACGAACAAACTGACTGACCAGGATCTGGCTTTGGAATTTGCTTACTGAACTAAATCTTCCAAATTATTTCAACTCAAAAACTAACACACAGAATAGACTATGAATCGCCGCCAGGAACCGCCGGTAATAGCCATTTTTCCTGTAATGAAGCCGACGGGTCGGATATGGGTCCGTGTTTTCGATCCGTTTGTCTACCCGGGTTGGGTTATGGTCGACCCGATTGAATCCGGGTCAATTCCGAGTTCGACCCGAACCCGACCCATGACCCGAAATTGACACCCCTAAAAATCACTTTGATTCTTTCAATGACACCATTCTATTGGAGAGTTTAGATGTTCTCTTTCTATGAATCTCATTAACATCGCAATAATTTTTAACTCTACACCATCACACTACCCACCAACAAAATTACAACTTAGGCTTCATTTGGGACAATTTTCTTATTATTTTTTAAACCAACTTTTTAGTACAAAAATTTTTTAAACTAGAAATTCTTTTTCTTTTAAGTTCTATTAAAATGTTTTGTTTATTTTTCCTCCCTTTGAGAGTGTAGATTTAGGCTTCATTTGGTACGGCTTTTTTATTGCTTCTTAAAACTATTTTATAGTTAAATAAATAAATAAATTGTACTAAATAGCTGCTTTAAGAAGCAATTAAAATGCCGTCCCAAACGAAACCTTAATTTAACTTCTGCCATTTGCTTCACATATTTAGAATTCAGTGTTTCTCCAGAAATAATTAGCTTGAACAATAGCTGTTTTGCCACTGAAATAATCGGATGAAAACATCTATAGGAGAGATTTTTTAAAGTGCTAAAACATAAAACTTTGAAGTATTATGATTATAGCTAATTGTCCAAAAGCTAAATTAGGCTAAGTCCTTCAAATGCTCCACACACACAGACACTATATAAAACAGTGCACGAAAAAGATTTGAATGAAACAAAAAAAACTTTTGAAGAGCAATAAGTTTTTTAAAACTTGAGCCTTACCAATTACGTACGTTTAAGAGTACATTGAATACTTCAAAACTTTTTGGAAAGAAAATTTCCGATATTATACTAAGGTTTTATTTGGGACGATTTTTCTATTGCTTCTTAAAATAGAGTTTTTGTTTTAAAAAGTAATAAAAAAAGCCGTCCCAAATGAAGCCTAAAACTTATTTGAGACAACTTTCTTGCTACTTTCTAAAACAACTTTTTTCTTCAAAATATTTTAAAAATAGAAATTTTTATATTAGAAAGTCATCATTTAAGAAAGCCGTCACAAATGAATTACGCAAAAAATATAATATCTTTAGATACTTAAATTTTAGTATTGAGAATATATTTCAATGTCAAATTCTCATTGATGAATTGAATGAGCAATTATGCCCAAATTGTTCAAATTAATATCAAATAAGATTGGAAGGACATGAAAACTCTCTAGTAAGATCGACCAAATCTCCAATGCTTGAATGACTAACTGCCCCTCTCCATCATTTGGGGCTTAAATATCAAGCTGTGTGAATTTCAGCGACTTCTAATTGTCTCATATTATAGTTATGATCATGAAAATCAGTCTAAAAAAATTAAGCTTTTTGAAGCTATTGTGCTTCCAATATAGCAATTAGATTCATAACAATTAACATTCAACAATATATACATATTTACAATTGACTCAATTTAAAAATAATAAATAAAATTACTATTTAAGAAAGATATTTTATTCAAGGAATAAGAATCTATTTAGGATGACAATAATTTTTTAGAAAGATAATTATAAAATTGTTATAGATAAAGCTATTTTTTAAGGTTTTGTTTGGGATAATTTTCTTAATACTTTTTAAATATAGTTTTCTAGTACACAAATTTATTGAAAACAAAGAAAAAATAGTGGCAAAAGCAAGGGCGGGGGGGCCTAAATGATTTAAAATAATATGGTCTTTAGGCAATTAGCCAACATAATCAAACGATGAACCAAATACAAAGAGAAATAGTAATGAAATAAAAATATCCTTACAACCAAAATAGGTTTAACCCCGGCAGGGGGCGCTGCCCCCTTGGGCCCCCGACATATCTGCGAAACGTACAATGATCAAGAATATGAACAAATAGGGGTCGAGCCGACTTCAAGGCAAAAAAAAACTCTACACTTTTTGCGCCTCCCCCCCCCCCCAACCCTAAACCCTAATGCTTAAAGTCCAAATGGAAAGTGATATCCGCGCCCCTGGCCAAAAGTTGCCCTTAATGAAGCCTAAACTAGCTCTGAAAAATAACTTCATAGCAAAAAAAATTCTTGAAAAATACGGAAAAAATAATAGCCAAACAAAAGTTCGGGCTATGATATGAAAAGTAAACCAATAAGAAATTAATTTGTCCAAAATAAATTCTAAAATTATGAAATAAAGTATAATTATGAAAAGATTCATCAATCTAAGCTTTATTTAATTATGCTTTTATATCATTATGTTATAATAAAAATAAAGCCACATTATACTATATTAGATATAAATTTATCATCTAATTTGATCTAATACAATTAAAGTCAGGCACAATTGTCTAAAGATATCTGTAAAATATAAGAAGTTGAATAGCCGTTTGCCAATTGCAGGAGCCGCGCATTCATTCTCAAAGCCGGATTTCTCTAATATTTAATGTTTGCAGGCCAACAAAAAAAAAACAGTATGAAAAATACTGAATTGATGAAGAATTTTTTATTTTTTTTCATTTGTCTCTATTTGAAAGTAATTGAACTCGTCGCACAGTCCTTTTAACCTTTGAATTAGTCGTTTTCGTAAGCGGTTGATCTCTTTCTTATAAATAGAGGCCAAAGCTTAAAATCAAGTACAGCAACATCGAAGCCTCAGCTAGTTCCAGTAAGCAACTAGCATCAACATGGCTATCTCTCTATCTCTTCGCCATGCTTCCTTCTGCTTCATGGCTGTTGCTGTCGCCGCCTTGGGCCTACTTGCAGCAGGTGTAAGCACAGCTCCGACGAACCAGTTGTTGCCAGGCGATATACTGAAAACTGGTCAAAAAATATCGAATGCAAATTACACATTACTGATGCAACCTGACTGCAACCTCGTCCTCTATGGCAGCTCGTCGCAAGCAATATGGTACACCCATACGAACGATAAAGGCAGCGAATGTGAGCTGCGGCTACAGACCGACGGCAACCTCGCCATCCACGACAAGGACGGGAAGCTTATTTGGCAAACTGCAACGAACGGAACGATTGGTAATTATGTGCTTCTCATGCAACGTGATCATAATGTTGTTCTTTACGGCAAACCGATATGGGATTCTGGGACGGGATCAGTTCGAGTTCCTCCTACCACATATTAGGAATGTTGTTCTTCTTCTTTTGTTTGTGTTGCAGTGATGAATTGTGTGTGCGAATTGAAGGGGGCTTTACTGTTTGAATAATTGTTACATGATGAGTAACATGATTATGTATCGATTGGATATTTATGATTGATTTAATAATTTCATGCTAATTTTCTACTTCCAGTTTAGGCTTCATTGAGGGTAGCTTTCTTAGGCTTTATTTAGGACGGTTTTCTTATTGCTTTCTAAAACGGTTTTTTTTACAAAAATTTTAAATTCAAGAATTTTTTGTACTTCCAAACGAAACCTTAATGCTTTCCAAAACAACTAAAATTTGTATGCTAGAAAACTTAAAAAAAAAAAGAGTAAAAAGTCGTGCCAAACGAAATTTTAATCGGAGAAGTTTTGGTAGTGTAGTTTTTATTATTCTTTTTTGGAAATGCTATAATTATAGAAAAGTAATTATTTGAATATTAACTTTTCGAAAGAACACATTGAAATGCTTTGAATGAATTTTGGATTGTTGATGAGATGCAACAATTGTTTTTATTGAGGGAAATTTTAAAATAATGTATAATAAATAAGTTAATAAAAAAATTAAAAGATGCCTAGTCTTCGTTTTGCAGGCGACTGGTCAATAACTTAGCATGCAAGTTGCCCATTTATAATTTGTGCTGATATGGTATTTTTTTAAAATAAATTGCCAATGACCTTTTAAACGGGCGACCGGCTTAAAAACCAAAATTTTAGATGACTTTTGTCTATTTTTCTTAAATAATTATAAGAAAATAAAACATAATTTTGATATTTATCATTTGTTATTAATGATTTTAAATTTGATATTAAAATTTTAATAAGTTATTTAAGTTTTCTTAATTAAGAGTATTATATGTTTTAAAATACATAAATATTTTCAATAACTAAATGTTAATAGGGATTTTTACATACATAACGCCTAAAACTATTGAAAATATATATTTAACACCTAAACTTATATATTTAATAAATATATCATCAAAAAATTATCTTAATCAAACACGAATCTCAAAGCAAAATTAAGCGGTAAGCTTTCGAAATTAAATCTTGAATCATCTGAACTCTAATTACAACAAACTTATAGTCAAACTGAACGTCTTGATAATATGAGCCCAACGACACCAAATTCGACTCAATCTGAGCCCAAATGGATCCAAATCAAGGGTCTAAAACGCTATTGGAGATTTCAAACCACAATTTGGATTATCAAACAGTTTCCAAACATGACATGCTTATAGTCAAATCGAGTGGCTCGACGAGACGAATCCAACGAGCCAAAAATCATTGAATTTTGAAATCGTTAAGGCTTCCAATTGACCAATAAACAATCATTGATCAAGGGGATCGATATCAGCCATCCATTCAAACCACTCCCATTTTGACCTTGATCCTCCATATATTTACAAGTCATGCCTCTCAAAAAATTATAAATAGCCCCCACTCTTCTCATAAGAGGGAGGAAGAAGAAAGAAAGGAAGGAAGGAGTTTAGGAGCTCTCTTCGTATCGACCACCGTCGGAGTTCTTCCCGACCACCGTCAGAGTTCTTCCCAACCACAGACGGGCTTTTACCAGTCCATCGACCACCGTCTGAGTTCTTCCCGACCACCGTCGGAGTTCATCGAGACCACTGCCGGGGTTCCTCCCGACGATCGCCAGAGTTCTTCCTAACCACCAACAGACTTCTACCAGTCCGTTTTGTGATTTTACATGTTTTCAAGAAAGGGTAAAGTTCATATGATATAAAGCTTTGGGCAAGACAAAAATGTAATCATGTTTCTTTTCGTTGTTCATTGGTAAGCTCCAGTTAAATGGTTAAAATAAAAAACTAATGTAATTTTTCGAATATAGATCTGGAATATGACAAAATAGTATAAATATTATTCATATATGGTATGGTGCTGTAGTGCTCAGCAAATCAGTGCCAAAGCGCTCTACTTCAAAATTTTCATATTTTTTAAGAAAAAATATTTTGCATATTTGAGTTATTACATCAAATATAATTGAAAACTTATAAGATGGTGGTGGTGTGATTTGCAATGCTTTATGAAATAGAATGGTGGTCATTAAAAAGAGAAGCATAAAGTTAAGTGTTGCATAGATGAAGATGCTTAGGTGGATGAGTGGCTTTACACTTAGAGACATAATGCAAACGAGTTTATATGTGAAAAGGTTCGAGTAGCTTTAGCGCCAGATAAGATTAAAGTGTCACCTTAGATGATTTGGTCACATAGCATTGACCTTCCAATAAATTGATTAGGAGAGTGGATGTATTAGATACCTCCTATGTTAAGAAAAATAGAGGTAGACTTAAAAATACTTGTTTAAAGAAATATTAAATAGTAACCTTTATTTATTAGATTTAAATGCAAATTTGATTATCAATAAGACACAATGGAGAAAAAAGATTCATGTAGATGATGTAGTGGGATAAATGTTTGATATTATTGTTGTTGTAGAAAATAAAAGATCGCAAAACTATATATATATATATATATATATATATCATATAATATTTTCAGGAATTTTTAAGAATAAATTTCATCAAAATTTTAATGCAAATTTGAAACCATTAATAATAAATAATAAACATCAAAATTAAATTTTATTTCAAGTTTTTCCTATAATTATTAAAAATACAGCCCCAAAGGGATATCCATTAATGACATAATTTCATGTAGAAAAATGTCACGTTAGCATAAGTTTCCCATTTAATGGCCATATCATTTTAAATTTTTTTTCAATTATCCTATCTTTTATAGTTACCTTATTTATTATACCTGATTTTAAAATTTGTCCTGATCGTGATGGTTTTAGTATGATTTAGATAAATTTCAAATTTGACAATTCTTTTTTTTTTTTTCGGCAACATATACATTTGTGAATTTATCAAACTGAGTGCTTCATCCAACTCAGGCTTCGTTTGGAACAGCTTTCTTCCTGGTTCTTAAAGTAGCTTTTCAGTACAAAAATTAAAATTTTTGTGCTAGGAAGCCGCTTTAAAAAGCAATAAGAAAGCCGTCCCAAACGAAGCCTCAGTCATGTTAAACCTCCTAAGGGAATTAACAAGATATTAGAAATGTATTATAATGTAATGTTATAGAACTAATTAAGCTGGCCTTATCTTACATATGAATTAACTTCACTATAGTTTACAAGAATACTAATCCTAATTATCTCATGTTATTTGTCGTAATGGCTTGTTTAATGATCTTCCATAGTGATTAAAAGCTATAAGAAGCTTGTATGGAATTGTTTGACCTCATAATCATTTTTTATTTTATTATTTTTGTGTGTTTAATTCTATTTTATGCTCACATTTAATTCAAAATGCATAGAACACAAGATGGATGAATATCTCTTCAATCACAAAAGGCTTACAAATTGCCCGTTCAATATTTGCTTTGTTAGAAAGTTTCTTCTTTAAGAGGTGTATAGTCTAAGAATAAAAAAAATTCAATTAATGTGAAAGATGGTAGAGAAAATTTTAACTTATACATATCAAAAGAGTACATCCATAGATAGTCTACATGCCCTCCAACTCTTGCCTCATAAGCTAGGTGAACTAGCAAATGCTCTATATAGTCAAAGAATGATGAAGGAGAAAGGCATTTGGGATGATTAAAAATAAAAATATCAAATATAAAAATATCAAAGATAATAAATTTGGAATGCTCGAAGAAGATAAATACTTGAGAAAAGGAGACCCTCTAAAAAAATCCTACGCACCATCCATCACATCCATTTTAATAAAATCTCAAGCTTTAACAAAAAAAACTTAGTAGAGAAAACATCAGGGCCAGCAAGAGATCGAGTCACAATTCATGCCTTGGATGGCGTTCCAAATTTTAGTTTCAGTGGGGCATTGGATGAGCAAGTTATTATCAGCCTCATTAGTTTACTTGGGAATAATACAAGGATTAGAGATGGGATGAGGTTCAACATTATTATTGAAAATGTTTGTGAAATACTCAACTCTAGACTTAGCAATCAAATCAACAGACTCTAATGGACTACCATCAGAATTAATAATTTTGTGACTGTGATTCACCACTCTTTTCTTGTTAACAACAGCATGGAAGAATTTAATGTTCTTATCACCCTCCAATAGAAATTTAGAGGCCGCTTTTTATTTCCAAAAATCCTCTTCTTTCTCTTGCAACTGATACAAATCGCACTTAGCTTTATTAAAATAACGCAAAATCTAAGAAGAAGGATCATCCAAATAGAGATTATCTAAATTAAGAAATTTCTTTTCAACCTCCTTAATATTTGTGAAAATGTTTTCAAAAATACATTTATTCCACCATCTTAATTTATGTTTCAATCTTTGAAGTTTAGACCATAATATAGTCATGACATTGATGCTATTGTTAGGGAAAAAGGGAGCATCTCAATTACTGGCAACAATATTCATAAAACCATTATCTAAAAGCCACATATTCTGAAATCTGGAAGCAGGAGGCACATGAGAGATTTTTAAATTAATGCTCAATAATATAGGAGAGTATCTAATAAAGTTTTACTTAAATGCTCCATATGATTTAAAGGATAATTTTAAATTCAACTATAGTTAAAAATAATCATATCCAATCTTTGCCACATAGTGGCTCTATTCCAAATGAAGGAACTATCAGAATAGCAAATATCTTGCAAGTTACAATCAAAAACCATAGAATTAGAATCATCTATAGCTTGTTGATTAGAGGAATCACCCCCAATTATCTCAGATGCATTAGAAATTGTATTAAAATCACTACCCACAAGCCATGGAGCATTAAAAGCATTGAGAGAAAAATTAGTTAATTGCTCCTACAAACTCATCCTTCAAAGCTTAAAACAAGAAGCATAAATAGAAGAGGCATTGCAAATAAAATTATAAAAAACCATTTCAGTATGAATCACTTCGGGGAGATCAAATATAACCTTAACACTAACAAAGCTATTCCATTAAATCCAAATTGTATTAGTAAAGTTGGAAAAG